TATACTCACATTCTGTTACACTTCACTCGTCGTATTATATATGGATCTATTCATATATATTGGGTCTGGTTAAGAATAATTTGCATATTGCCTTTAACTATTAAAATGTTAAATTGACAGGTAATATTCTATGTAATGAAAACGGGGATGTAGCTCAGTGGTAGAGCGTTCGCTTTGCATGTGAAAGGCCCGGGGTTCGATCCCCCGCATCTCCAAAGACTTCATTTTAATCCTGTTTTGCTTTAATATGTTTGTTTTATTTCTTTGTGTTATCATCATATACAAAATAGTTTCGGACAGGTGCGACCTGATCCTTCAATCTACACGTGCCAAATATTCCGCAGTCCAGTCTTGGTCCCGATCTATATTGGGCGTTTTTCTTGCAGGTTCAACCGATCCAACGGTTTCAACTGCTTGCGTGAGAGCGCCCTAAACTCACCAAGTTTTTTCTCAGTTGAACCGCTGCCCGGTACATGTTGATATCTTTCAGTAAGACATCTCTAATAAACCAACAACACGGTAAAGAAGATCAGCAAGATAGATTTAACTTTTTAATTTCTAGTCATCAATCCATACATCCACTCATACAGATTAACACAAAATACACGTCAGTGATCAATGTAGAATCCAGGAGAGTTCCAAGCATTCTGATCTACCAGAGTTACTTCCCTTGGCCTCATCTTCTCAGTATAAAGATAACCAGATTTACTTCCCTTGGCCTCATTTTCTCAATATAATGACTACCAGATTTACTTCCCTTGGCCTCATTTTCTCAGTATAATGATAACCAGATTTACTTCCCTTGGCCTCATTTTCTCAGTATAATGATTACCAGATTTACTTCCCTTGGCCTCATTTTCTCAGTATAATGATTACCAGAGTTACTTCCCTTGGCCTCATTTTCTCAGTATAATGATTACCAGATTTACTTCCCTTGGCCTCATTTTCTCAGTATAATGATAACCAGATTTACTTCCCTTGGCCTCATTTTCTCAGTATAATGATTACCAGATTTACTTCCCTTGGCCTCATTTTCTCAGTATAATGATTACCAGAGTTACTTCCCTTGGCCTCACTATCTCAGTATAATGATTACCAGAGTTACTTCCCTTGGCCTCATTTTCTCAGTATAATGATAACCAGAGTTACTTCCCTTGGCCTCATTTTCTCAGTATAATGATTACCAGATTTACTTCCCTCGGCCTCATTTTCTCAGTATAATGATAAATATAAGTGGATAAACAATTCATAAGGTAAGGGAGATAACTCTGTTGAAGGGAATAAAAACCATATCTGATTCAGTATATACTATTTCATAACATGATTAATGATAATTATAACATCAAGAAATTCTTTTACTTCAAAATTCCCGGAGTAAAGATATTTGAAATAAATTGAAAATGAATTTTTTCATTTCTATTTTCTGTTTCACAAAATACCAACAATTGTAATATCATTGTCACGCAATAAGCGCCCCCTTCTCCTTAACCCCAAGAAATGGTCCACATATATAGTCACATGATAAATATTAAGGAAGGAATTAATATAAGCTCTATACTTGTTGTCCCATCCCATAGGTAAGATATGTATGCATAATTATGTTGAATATTTAATTAAAATATTGTTAAATCTGAATACTGATGCATGTTGAAATAAACTCGACAAATAACGACACTTTTATTATGCATTGAAACAACGCATCACTATTTCAAATAAGATAACTCACTGATCATTTTACTTCTCAGAAATTGGAGCACAAGCACAAATAAATAATAAAATATTATTTTAAGGGAGATAACTCTCAACATTTCACTGGTCAGGAATCAAAATGTTGACAGAAATTAATTTCAAACTTTTGAATCTTATTTTTAAAGGGAGGCAACTCTCTGAACATTTCACTGGTCAGGGTTCTGATCTGCATTTAGCCAAGTACACTCATTACTTTTACAAGCCTATATTCAGTGACATACCCATAAGCCAATCTTTAATATTACAATTTCAGTAAAAATAATTGTCCTGTATTAAGCCCCCCCCTCACTCTGACAGTGGTTCTACGTTATATGCCCCTATTCAGGGTTGATAAATTAATCACTTCACACAGATTTTCTCACCATAGGTTACAAAAAACCTTCCACAGCTATGATGCTCACCTTTGAAATTATGTTTTTAACTCCCAAAAATCTATTTTGACTCTTGATTTGGAAGAGATATGTCTATTTCACTAAAGCTTTGAACTTTTTGTGATCTGACCTCTGATTTAACATTTTCTGTGGGGACAGTGCATAGATTGAAAATCACATTAATATCTTGTTTTTGAGGGCTGCCTGGATTCTCCATTGACAATCAATGTGTTGTAACAGTTAACAAATACCTCCCTGTCAGAAGTATGTATGGCCTTTCTAACAACGGGCAAATATTCTAAACATCCAATAAAATCAACCATTACACTTGTACAACTTAGGACAATTTTTATTGGTTGGTAGATAACCAATGAAACAAAGTGTAACATCAGGATAATTTCTATTAAATAATGACCATTGAAATGTTACATACAACTTTAAAGAATAACTTTTTTTTCTAAATGACCAATGAAATGAAGTGTTACATAAGAAGAATATTTTTCAATCTTTTCTAAATGACCAATGAGACACTGTGTCACATCAGGATAATTTTCATTTTTCTAAATGACCAATGAGACACTGTGTCACATCAGGATAATTTTCATTTTTCTAAATGACCAATGAGATGAAGTGTTACATAAATAAAACTTTTCACTCATGAGTTGGTGCACCTGTAATCATCAATGCTTTATATATATTTAGCAACATGTTTACATAATGATTCACAGTGACCAATGAAAACACTGGTTACATATACAACTCAAAGATTTTTCAGCATTATTAACTATAACTGGCCAATGAAACAAACACATTTCTTACAAGTCTAAATTACTAACAAATCTATCTGTTAAAGGTTTTTAAATTCTAATTGACCAATCAAAAATCATCTCAAAAAATTCTAGTTGACCAACTACATAGATTTGATCTACATAAAATCTTATTAGAATGAAATGTTTCTAGATTGACTAAAACTACCTCACTAGGGTACACACACCTGATACTTGACAAGGGACCAGTACTGTAGTCTTTATAACGATGTGTCCTTGTTAAATGATTGAATGGGTGGTGTAGTAGAAATTGTATACATATACATTACTATGGTGACCTCGGTTTGATTTCTTGATCGGACATGTGTGAGGGTCACATGCCTGACCTTAAGGTTCCTCTGGTTAGATCTGTGACTGGTTTGTGTATCTTCATCATGGCTAGCACAAGTGATTTATGTAAATTTGAATACTTCTTTCTAGTGCAATAAATACAGTACAGGATTTTGTTTTTTTTTAAACGGTTTAAATTTTTTGCAAAAAGTCTAAAACAAGTATTTTTTTTAGAAACCTTCATTGATGAAGGTTTTAATATCAGATTTTCTTGATTTTATTCCAGCCTCACAACTGATCATCTTTCTGTAAAAATATGATTTAACAAATTAAAATCGCCCCCAAAATTTGGAGTTGAGAAATCAAACATTCTCTAGAGGTTGTTATTTTTGTAGGGTCTACACTTTTCTTATCCGATGATAAAACAAAATCGTGAAAAATTGACACTTTGAAAATGACATTAACACACCAAGCCATTGTCTTCTACCGAATGGATGTGAAAAGCACATCTTCATGCTTTTTGTAAAACTGCAAAAATATGAACCATGAAAAAAAAACATTTTGCAGTAAGTATGATAAGAATTGCTATCATAAATTAACACTTTCATTAAATTATCGAACTAGGCCATAACCATTACTAATGTAAATCAATGTATTATTCCTACAGATCAGAAATATCATAGAACCATTCCCATAGTGTAAGTGTACAGCTATCTGTGTATGCTTTAATCAATAATAAGAGTCAAAAATGGTTGATTAGAGTCTGTAAAGTTTGGTGAAGTTGCATGCTTTCATTCATTCATTTGTATAAAATTATTGAAACTTTACATCCGCATTTTTAAAAAATTAGCCGATATTGGAAAATCATCAAATTAACCGATTTCTTTGGCTATTGCACCTCCCCGCCCATATTTGGGCATGCCATTCTTCCCTTTTTGAGTTTCCTCAGTCAACTCTTTTGGGGGTAGCATGGATTGAGTCAGTAGGTCACTTATCTTTACTAAATTTACCTTAAGAAAATATTTTGTTCATTAAATAGGAGAAAGTAAATGCATTCATAGTCTTATGAATGCAATATTTTATGATAATCTCTAAATCAGATCCTAAAGTGGAGATGTACAAATTATGATAAAAAATGAAAAAAAGTTTTGTTTACAAATCACCAAAAACCTTTTTCGTTTTATATCAACAATACAAAAAGACTTCCTACAATGACATAAAGAGTAAACTGTTTATTTTTTATGTCATTGCATTATTTTGTCTCTTGTAAAAAGTTCCTTGTAATTCAAACTGACATTTCTTAGTAGTCTCAAAATTGAGTTACCTCCCTTCAATCCGTGATTAAATTAACATAAGGGCTTTCAAAGCAAATTTGACATCGAAAACTATATTGTCTGTATGAACAAATCTAATGCAATGAAATGACAAACATTTCATTTAACATGGACATACTTTCTTAAATATTTACCTCTGATTAAATCCAAACACTAGTTACCCAGACAACTGACACTTGAAGTTCATTCAAGGAACTTGTATCTGTACAGTCATTGTCTCAATTAATGTCATCAGATGACTTAACGAAAAACAGAAAAAAATAGTTTATTTACATGGCAAGTTCCGAACAATAATTATAATTTTAATTATAAATCAGTCATAAAAACATGATTATCAAATCAATCAGGTTAATTTTCAGCTCATTATGCATATTAATTATTGTTATTTTTAGAAATTATTATAGGATATGGGCTGATTAACTTAACATATATGAAAACATTTTGGTATGAACACGACTCTATATAACAGGCTAGAATCATATCGATAAGTCTCTAATAGAAAACATATAGAAATACTCTGTTCCTTCAGGACTTGACTGAAGGAAGTAAAAACTACATCAGCAATATTTTACATTACAACAGTAAATTATATCACAGAAAAAATGTTCTAAATCAGAAAAAACTTATTATAAATAATTTCAACTTACGAAGCTTCAATATTAAGTGCCAGCATGTTGAAAAGAAGATAAATGATAAACCAACATTACATTTCAATTACAATCATCAATACCCCAGTTCCTAAATACAGTTTAGCAAGAGTTACTTGCCCTTGGTTATCAGCATCCAAATTTTTTGTGCGTGAGCATCACTACAGACACCACTGATAGTGTTGACTGGCAAAATAACACTACAAGAGGCATAACAACCTGGGACTACACCAGTGCCATCTTGCAAAACAACAAGAAAGAAAATTCTATCATTTACCAGTGTGGAGAACGGGGCCATAAATTTGAGATTGGTTACTAAGGGAAACACAGAAAAAATAATACTTAGTGAATATTTCAATCCCAAGGTAAATTGAGGATATGGTAAAAAAAAAAAAAAACAACAAAAAACAATAACATCATAATTCGAACAATTCGTCATTAACTTGTTCCTGTTTTTCAAGCGATGTTTGAACTTGTCGAGTTTTGTTTCGTGACTTTATCAGAAGTACTGGAGAAGATTCACAATCCATACTGTTCGTTTTCCGTTTTTCAACTTCAGAGTTATGTTTTCCTGCGTCAAGTTGTCGAACTGTTACTGCTGAACCCGAATGTCGTCTAGCACCATTTTTAGTTTTCCGTGGAAGAAAAGTCAGCGGGTTGTCCGACTCTCCTTTGTTTAATAGTCTGTAAATATATAAAGATTTTTTGTAAATGATAAACAAGACAAATTATTAAATTGAAATCTTTACTTAGAAAACAAAAAGAGGAAATTTTCACCTGATGAAGACATGAAATCCTGCAATTCATATTATTTAAGCAAATACTTTTGTATACGTTTATTCATGTATATTTTTTTCTTCTATCTCAGATTTTGAATCAGTTTTTATCTTATTTATGCATTTACTGGTACACTGATCTTTATTCAGCCAGAATAAAATCCTCGAAAGAAATGTAAAACAAAACAAACAAAAAATTCTGTTGGAGTGTGAAATATGTAGTGAATCATAAGACCACCAAGAAGTATGTTAGATCACAAAAACAAAAACATGCTCTGTTACAAAAGACATGCAGTTCTTCAGTAGACAATCAATGCGGCCAACCAGTGTTGAAAACAATAACAGATCTTCAATGTCAGAGGTGAAAGGTCAACCAGTAGTAAAAATAACTGGTCCCAGATCTTCAATGTGAGAGGTGAAAGGTCAAACTTTTTGAAGGTCACAAAATAAAAATTTTCAATACCACATTATCGTCTCACTATATACAAACTGTAGTATGTATATAGTGTTTTTATACCTTTTACATAAATTTCTAAATATAGTTAACTTCAACAATGCTAACTTTAAATCTGTCTTTTAGGTGAAACTTCATTATTCTACTGTATCTATGGTTATCAGAGTTTAAAATACATGTAGTAGGGGAGATAACCTATGTTTCACCATATTTAAACTTGCCAAGTTCAGTGTAATTTTGGAAGTCTAAACCTTGGTTATTGCTGTAAGTTCATATATACTTATGACATGTTCATGATATAGCTTAAAACCTTGCCTTACCACATAAATTACTTATTATACTGTCTACACTACATTAGTATATCACCAAAATGGCTCTGGATATTGTCTCTATTGTCTTGCCGGCAGGTGTTTTTTTATTAAAAAAATTCTTATTGGTTTAGATCTGATTGATTATGGAAAAATTACTTTAACTTAGTTAAACGTGAACAAAATGAAGAACAATCCAGAGAACAGCTCCCATACACATGTACAATATAATGTGTACCACATTCAACATTTTTTTTCAAATTGCATTCATGTGCATATGAATGCAAACAGGATAAAAGGTCAATTCAGTGAGGAATGTTAAGTGCATGCTTCATTTATCTATGAATGCCAACTAAAAGCAGTTCAATACTTATATACATGTATATCATTTTCAATATTCATCTAGTTTAAGAGGGAGGCAACCTCCATCCTTTCATTTCACCACTACCCTGTACTTGTAACATTCCTAGGCTGTTGGCAGTTCATGAGCCTGTAATACACAACTAGATATGGCAATGTCAATACAATGTTTATATGATGTGCTTTTATCAGTTAAACATGTCTATAACTGTTTAACACTATACCAAGGTAAAACTAAAGCTAATAAGCAGGAAGGGAATTGAAAGCCAGCTTATACTTTACCTTTGACAAAATCTCACTATCACCCTCACCAATTCATTTTACAGAGATATGACATTAGCTAGTTTTTTTTTTTTTGTTAATCTCATTTTCAACCGTTCAATTTTTTGCAACTTTATTCCAACTTTGAATAAAGTAAAAAAAAATAGAAGCCTTGAAAATAACAGCTTTCAGACAGAAGCAGTGCATAACAACTTAATACTAAATTAATGTTTAATCAAATACTTTGTTGTGTTAGTTATCCCTTCATACCAACCCTCCTTATCTTAGTTCTGAACTTGATTTTTCACTGAAAATTTAAAAGATGAAATTTAATTGCAATGGTGACCACAGATAATACACGGAACAGGTGGAGCAGATTTACCCTAAGTTTACTGGTCATACTTCCTGATTTCATATTATATACCTCATAGTTTAAATCTGGTCTGAATTTAAATCTCTGTGTATCACATTTTACTGTGAACAACACAACATTCCACCATTAAATCCATATAATATCTCATTATTTTTCATGTTTAAATAAAATTTCAAACTTACATGTATACTTAGATCACAGTAAGAGAAAAAAGATAAAAAATATAATGTATGATTGCATTATTATTTACTTCAAGTCAGTGTAAACTATCATGAGTAACCCTGCTATATATTGGTTGAAGGAAGCCAGAGGTCCCAGGTTTGTTCTCTAGTGAAGACACTGATAGAGTCTTTGATACAATGGTATTACAATGGTAATTCAAGGATGAGTATTCTTTCCCAGAGAGAGGGTAAATAACCCTGATAACCTGGAGGGGGAGTATGTAACCCTGGTAACCTGGAGGGAGTGTATGTAACCCTGGTAACCTGGAGGGAGGGTACATAACCCTGGTGATTTGGAGGGAGAGTATGTAACCCTGGTGACTTGGAGGGAGAGTATGTAACCCTGGTAACCTGGAGGGAGAGTATTTACCCTGGTGACTTGGAGGGAGAGTATGTAACCCTGGTGACCTGGAGGGAGAGTATGTAACCTTGGTTACTTGGAGAGGGAGAGTATTAACCCTGGTGACTTGGAGGGAGAGTATGTAACCCTGGTGACTTGGAGGGAGAGTATGTAACCCTGGTAACCTGGAGGGAGAGTATTTACCCTGGTGACTTTACATAACCCTGGTGACCTGGAGGGAGAAAATGTAACCCTAGTGACCTGGAGGGAGAGTATTTACCCTGGTGACTTGGAGGGAGAGTATGTAACCCTGGTAACCTGGAGGGGGAGTATGTAACCCTGGTAACCTGGAGGGAGTGTATGTAACCCTGGTAACCTGGAGGGAGGGTATGTAACCCTGGTATCCTGGAGGGAGAGTATTTACCCTGGTGACTTGGAGGGAGAGTATGTAACCCTGGTGACCTGGAGGGAGAGTATGTAACCTTGGTGACTTGGAGGGGGAGAGTATTAACCCTGGTGACTTGGAGGGAGAGTATGTAACCCTGGTGACTTGGAGGGAGAGTATGTAACCCTGGTGACTTGGAGGAAGAGTGTGTAACCCTGGTAACCTGGAAGGAAGGTATGTAACCCTGGTAACCTGGAGGGAGATTACATAACCCTGGTGACCTGGAGGGAGATTACATAACCCTGGTGACCTGGAGGGAGAAAATGTAACCCTAGTGACCTGGAGGGAGAGTATTTACCCTGGTGACTTGGAGGGAGAGTATGTAACCCTGGTAACCTGGAGGGAGAGTATTAATCCTGGTGACATGGAGGGAGAGTATGTAACCCTGGTAACCTGGAAGGAAGGTATGTAACCCTGGCAACCTGGAGGGAGATTACATAACCCTGGTGACCTGGAGGGAGATTACATAACCCTGGTGATCTGGAGGGAGAAAATGTAACCCTTTTGACCTGGAGGGAGAGTATTTACCCTGGTAACCTGGAGGGAGAGTATTAACTCTGGTGACCTGGAGGGAGAGTATGTAACCCTGGTAACCTGGAAGGAAGGTATGTAACCCTGGTAACCTGGAGGGAGATTACATAACCCTGGTGACCTGATTACATAACCCTGGTGACCTGGAGGGAGAGTATTAACCCTGGTGACCTAGAGGGAGAGTATGTAACCCTGGTGACTTGGAGGGAGAGTATGTAACCCTGGTGACTTGGAGGGAGAGTATGTAACCCTTGTGATCTGGAGGGAGAGTATGTAACCCTGGTGACTTGGAGGGAGAGTATGTAACCCTGGTGACTTGGAGGGAGAGTATGTAACCCTGGTGACCTGGAGGGGGAGAGTATTAACCCTGGTGACTTGGAGGGAGAGTATGTAACCCTGGTGACTTGGAGGGAGAGTATGTAACCCCGGTGACCTGAAGGGAGAGTATGTAACCCTGGTGACCTGGAGGGAGAGTATGTAACCCTTGTGATCTGGAGGGAGAGTATGTAACCCTGGTGACTTGGAGGGAGAGTATGTAACCCTGACTTGGAGGGAGAGTATGTAACCCTGGTGACTTGGAGGGAGAGTATGTAACCCTGGTGACTTGGAGGGAGAGTATGTAACCCTGGTGACTTGGAGGGAGAGTATGTAACCCTAACAGCCTGGAGAGAGAATAATTACCATGTAACCTGGAGTAAGATTAAGTAACCCTGGTAACCTTGAAGGAGCATATGCAACCCTGGTAACCAACGCTAGTAACCAAGGGGTTCTAGGTTCCCTAGTGAAATTAATCATTTAAATAATGTGCTCTGTTACAAAAGTAAATGTCGTGCAACATGCAATTTATGTTTTTGGATTAAAAAAGTCAAACAGTTTTTAATACAAAATGAATTTGGTTAATCAAAGAGATAATGGCAGTTTGTCATTTTGAGCAATGTTTAGACTAAAACAGAACATGGTGGGGTCAATATTTTTCAGAGCCTCTTTGGTCCCTTCAAGGTTATCCTTGAAAACCAAAGGAAGTTCTTGAGCAGGCAGTGAAGCGTTGGTAATCTGATTGAACAGAAGCAAAAAGTCTGAGAAACTCATTTCACATTTCAATAATAACCGATTCTTTACTAAACATTGAAAGAACATTAAAAATTTTCATAAATTTTATAAATATAGATTTCAAATCATCAATTATGATATTCACATTAATGTCTTTTAAATGAAAATCAAAAACAATCATTGGTTAGCAAACTGAGTTATATACATAATATATGCAATTGTCCAAATATCAGTACTTCTACTTAAAACATATGAATTTCAGAATTTTAATACTCACACCAGTGCAATTACATGGTGTGACTCAAAACTTTGAAGATTAACATGGTCACTACAGAATTACATTTTCTGTGTTTGTAATTTTAGTTACCAGTATTACATGGTGTCCCTAGAAAATACATGGTGTCCCCTAAAAGCCAAGATTACATGGTGTCCCCTACAGTTTATAAGTATCTATAAGAACTATTGACATGGTGTCCCCTACAAATTACATGGTGTCCCCTCCAAATTACATGGTGTCCCCTACAGATTATATGGTGTCCCCTACAAATTATATGGTGTCAACTACAAATTACATTGCGTCCCCTACAGATTACATGGTGTCCCCTCCAAATTACATGGTGTCCCCTACAGATTACATGGTGTCCCCTACAGATTACATGGTGTCCCCTACAGATTACATGGTGTCCCCTACAGATTACATGGAGTCCCCTAGAGATTACATGGTGTCCCCTACAGATTACATGGTGTCCCCTCCAAATTACATGGTGTCCCCTACAAATTACATGGTGTCCCCTACAGATTACATGGTGTCCCCTACAAATCATATGGTGTCACCTATAAATTACATTGCTTCCCCTACAGATTACATGGTGTCCCCTACAAATTACATGGTGTTCCCTATGTATTACATGGTGTCCCCTACAGATTACATGGTGTCCCCTACAGATTACATGGTGTCCCCTACAAATTACATGGTGTCCCCTACAGATTACATGGTGTCCCCTACAGATTACATGGCGTCCCCTACAGATTACATGGTGTCCCCTACAAATTACATGCTGTCCCCTACAGATTACATGGTGTTCCCTATGTATTACATGCTGTCCCCTACAGATTACATGGTGTCCCCTACAGATTACATGGTGTCCCCTACAGATTACATGGTGTCCCCTACAGATTACATGGTGTCCCCTACAGATTACATGGTGTCCCCTACAGATTACATGGTGTCCCCTACAGATTACATGGTGTCCCCTCCAAATTACATGGTGTCCCCTACAAATCATATGGTGTCCCCTACAAATTACATGGCGTCCCCTACAGATTACATGGTGTCCCCTACAAATTACATGGTGTTCCCTATGTATTACATGGTGTCCCCTACAGATTACATGGTGTCCCCTACAGATTATATGGTGTCCCCTACAAATTATATGGTGTCAACTACAAATTACATTGCGTCCCCTACAGATTACATGGTGTCCCCTACAGATTACATGGTGTCCCCTACAGATTACATGGTGTTCCCTATGTATTACATGGTGTCCCCTACAGATTACATGGTGTCCCCTACAGATTACATGGTGTCCCCTACAGATTACATGGTGTCCCCTACAAATTACATGGTGTCCCCTACAGATTACATGGTGTCCCCTACAAATTACATGGTGTCCCCTACAGATTACATGGTGTCCCCTACAGATTACATGGTGTCCCCTACAGATTACATGGTGTCCCCTACAGATTACATGGTGTCCCCTACAGATTACATGGTGTCCCCTACAAATTACATGGTGTCCCCTACAGATTACATGGTGTCCCCTACAGATTACATGGTGTCCCCTACAGATTACATGGTGTCCCCTACAGATTACATGGTGTCCCCTACAGTATACCCCATTACATGGTGTCCCCTATTACATGGTGTCCCCTACAGATTACATGGTGTCCCCTACAGATTACATGGTGTCCCCTACAGATTATATGGTGTCCCCTACAGATTACATGGTGTCCCCTACAGATTACATGGTGTCCCCTCCAAATTACATGGTGTCCCCTACAGATTACATGGTGTCCCCTACAGATTACATGGTGTCCCCTACAGATTACATGGTGTCCCCTACAGATTACATGGTGTCCCCTACAGATTACATGGTGTCCCCTACAGATTACATGGTGTCCCCTACAGATTACATGGTGTCCCCTACAGATTACATGGTGTCCCCTATTACATACAGATTACATGGTGTCCCCTACAGATTACATGGTGTCCCCTACAGATTACATGGTGTCCCCTACAGATTACATGGTGTCCCCTACAGATTACATGGTGTCCCCTACAGATTACATGGTGTCCCCTACAGATTACATGGTGTCCCCTACAGATTATATGGTGTCCCCTACAGATTACATGGTGTCCCCCACAGATTACATGGTGTCCCCTACAGATTACATGGTGTCCCCTACAGATTACATGGTGTCCTCCACAGATTACATGGTGTCCCCTACAGATTACATGGTGTCCCCTACAGATTATATGGTGTCCCCTACAGATTACATGGTGTCCCCTACAGATTATATGGTGTCCCCTACAGATTATATGGTGTCCCCTACAGATTACATGGTGTCCCCTACAGAGTGTGTGTAGTAACAGTAATGATGGTATTTCATGTAAAAGCCTAGAGTCTTACACCAAATCTGCAGATGACCTCCCAACACAGTATTGGTCAGTGCAGTATCAGGCTGAGATAATAAGCCATTGTTTTAAAAGAGTAATGAAAAACTCAAAAGTCCTACTGATATTGTGTAACATTTAACTCAATTAAAGAATAAAAAAACATGAAATCCACAAAACATTAAAAAATAAGCAACAAAACAAGCTACAGTTATAACATGTATTTACCCGTCAATAAGCCCATTTATTGTAATAAGCTCACCAATTATGACATTCATAGCTGTACAATCGAACATATAATACAAAAATTCTCCACTGTTCAGTAATAAGCCCACCCATATTGATATTTAATAGCTGTACAGTTGAACATGTTACAAAAGTTATTCCGCTGTCCTGAAATAAGCCCATCTCCTGACTTTGAATTCATGGGCTTACTGAAGGATAATTACGGTAATAAATAACCTGCAAACTAAAACAATGAATAATGAAAAGTGATCATGAGGAGGTTACAAACCAATGTGTTACTATGCCAGACCCTGCGCCTGTCCATGACTGCTGATGGGTAAGCATGCAGACAAAGTTATTATATTAAATGTCATGCATTCAAATTATCATTAATAAAACATAAGAAGATTTCCAACATAAAGGGGGATAATCCAACAAATCAGTGGAGATTGATAGTGAATGGAAGCTGGTTAAATCTAACAATGACTTGGGGAATATTTTCCTAAAAATTTGGAGAGAATTCTGAGCTTAGTATCAGGTGCAGTCTACATAAAAGCACTATTCACTACTTCCATTTAAGACACTACATTTGTATCAGGCCTGCCATACATATGTACAAGTTGGTGCCAGAGTTATCTCCCTTACACTTTAAACCCATGAGTATTACTCATATTGGTGTTCTCCTACTAGTCTTTGAATTTATAGACATTTCCTCTGTCCTTTCAATATGTGATGTGCATAGTTGGTGTAGGAATTCCTAGCAAAGATGATTTCTCATTACATAGAAAACAGTTTATCAAACTTATATCAATCTTCATTTATATCTGTTTTACATAATGGAATAACCTACCTTGTAAATTATACTTTTAGCTGTGTGAGAGTTAAGGCTATATGCTATACCTTACACAATTCAATTAGAGTTATCTCCCTTAAACATAATGCAATAGCATATTTAGGTTACTTTAGCAAGGCCTTACTTCATATGAATCAAATGAGACATCAACCACTGCATGTCTGGCTAGGTCCCAAAGAGTTCAACAACAACAACATAGTTGTAAAGTCAGTTCACCACAAGGTCAAGTGTACAATGCAGGAAATATCAACAGCTGATATCATCACTATAGACTGACAATCTGTACATGTTATATCCTATCAAGTACAGTAAACATATATACTGCTATTTAGAACTACATATACAAAACTTTGAGTTAACAAGATGTTAAACAGGAAACATTCAATTTCTGAAAAATTTTCATCATGACACAAACATAAAAACAAAAAACAAGATATTAAACATTTAAATTAATCTTAAATGCCATATTTTTCCCTCCATTTCATGGAATTTGAGAAATTCATTGAAGATGCTGAATATCAAATTTCTATATTTATCATCCTATTGGAAGAGTTAATGTAATCAATCACAGGCAATATCTAATACCATATTTATCTAGTAATAATTATTATAAGCCAACAGTATTTCAACATCACCTCTATATAAACTGTATGGCTGAAGGGAAATGATCATGGGAAAAGTTGAATTCCGCTGAAACTCCTATACATTGGGATGGGCTTATTATTAAGATTTATCTCAGATAAATATATTTTAAGTTCTGTAAACATCCAAGAATTCAAAGCAGTATTAAGTCCAAGCTATGTATCACATCTAATTTCTTCATAAAAGGGTATACCAATAGCAGTGTTTTTTCTCTCTAGATTTTATATAACTGTCTGAAAAATTTGGAAAATATTCTTGAATTCTGCTTCATTTCTGGAAAATAACAATTATTTAGGCTTGTGGAATTATAAACCTGATTTGATTTATAACACACATCAACTTCAATCTGCAGAGGTCACTATTTCACACTAATTGTCACAAAATGCTTTCAATTTTGTAAGAAAGTGCCCTTTATTTTCATTACCTGTTAAAAACTATTATATTCTTCCAAATTTTATACTGGAAAAGTCATATAGTGTCAAGCATAAATTCTTTGTACATTTGTATGTTCATTTATCACACCTCTCAATGGACATATTTATCAAAATTACGGACACCAATCAATTAATGAACATATTTATCAAAATTACGGACATCAATCAATTAATGAACATATTTATCAAAATTACTGACATCAATCCATTAAATAAAGAAGCTTACCTTGCATTATTTTCCATTTTTTCCATGTTTGACTTTAGTTGTGCTATATTAGAGTCGTATTTATTAAGAAAGTCCAGTGGTGACGTTTTCGGTTCGACAGAAACACCATTGTTGGTAGAATCACCATGTTCTCCACTCTCTGTACTTTTTCGACTAGAATTGGAAATTTGACTTCCTGACCTTGATCTACTTCTAGGGTCAACATCAACCACTTCCAGGTCATCCGGCAGTGTGGCTATATCCTCCCTAGCAACAGGTACCAATAAATGTTCTCTCAGAAACAAGCTGTCATTAGTCCACAGTTTGTTCTCACGCTTCAGCTGTTCCACCTGTCAAATATTCAAATCAGAAGCTAAGTGAAATATATTTAGAATGAGAAAATTGATAAAGTTATAAGCCACTGCTAACTACTGCAATCAGTGGATGTCAGGTACCATGGTTTCAATCTGATCTATCTGGTCCCTAACATTTCAATATCAACAGTGAAAATGAAAACTGGATTACAGATCTGGATTAGTGGTGACAGGATTACAGATCTGGATTAGTGGTGACTGGAATATATATCTGAATTAGTGGTGACTGAATTACAGATCTGGATTGGTGGTGACTGGAATATATATCTGAATTAGTGGTGACTGGAATCTAGATCTAGATTAGTGGTGACTGGATTAGTGGTGACTGGATTATCAATCTGGATTAGTGGTGACTGGAATGTAGATCTAGATTAGTGGTGACTGGATTACAGATCTGGATTAGTGGTGACTGAAATACAGATCTGGATTAGTGGTTACTGGAATATATATCTGAATTAGTGGTGACTCGAATGTAGATCTAGATTTGGATGATTAGATTCCTGATTTTGATAATGGTGACTGAATCATAAATACATGATATACAGAGCTTGATTATCTATGGGTTGATTGCTTTTAGGTTAAAACATTCAAGGTAAAATAACTTTCCCTCCATGTTATCTCCTGTACATATCTGCCTCTCTAAGATGTATGACAATGTCAGCTGTGCTTCGTACAGCTATTCACAACACAGATTGACATTGGTGACCTAAATAAACATGCATGTAGGTCTACAATGCATGTACATTTTTTTTCAGTTGCCTTATCAGGTTAAAAATCAAGAAATATTATTTTTCAGAGCTCCTATATCTCAAATACAGAATCAACAAAATAATGTCAAAAAGATCATTTATTTTATTAGATTATTTATTTTATAAATTGCTATTATTAGCCTATCATTATTAGTCATGTTACTATAAGATCATTTTATAAATTAGTCAGAGTTATTATGTTTTCTCAATGACTCCTGCCTATATATCATTTCTAACATTTTGTTGAGTCCCAGCTATGATATATGTATAGCAGGCTTTCAAAATGGGAAAGTCTAACAGTTCAATCAGATGTTGGTAAAGTCAAGTATAAGCATGTGCCACACGTTATGCAGTATTTAAAAAACGTGAATTAATAATAATTTAGTTCAACTTTTAATTTGGCTAAAAATCAACAACCTCAATGTTTAAAATCAAAATCAAACTAAGAAATAAAGCTTGAACACTTTCATTAAAGAATAAACTTTTCTTTAAAGTAACATTATTGTAATAGTCGAACTTCCTTTTCTGAATCATAGACTTAAAATAGAAGACTGCAGTGATAAAGCAATTTAATGATTGATATATATATATATGTATCTTAAGATTTATTTTTTCATTTTTTTTTTCATAAAAAAAAATAAATGTCCTATTTCTAAACATCACTTCCAACAAATCAGCAGTAAAAAATATTACGGGTTACACTACCTACTTTTCAAGATCAACTTCTTACATGTATTTTTTTTTATTATTATTATTATTTTTTTTTTCTGTACATTACACCACATCAAACAATTTGAGCCACAGTATTGACTTTCAATTGATACTAACTGCAATGTTACATTGGAGTTGATCTAATTCACAATTCTATCAATATATCCACTAACCTACCTCCCCATACATCTTATATGTAACCCACATTAAATGCCAATATACATATACATTCATATTTATTTAGTTGTATATTTAACATACATCTAGCTATGACTTTACATATCATACCCAACACTACAACTATGCCTTATCTGATTATAATCTTAAACACTATCAGTTTATATAACCTCAGCTACATATATCAATTTATTTGTTTATATCAATGTAAACAACTTATACAAAAACTACACCTGTAGAGATGTAATAACAGAAAGTACTACACGGTGAAAACATCTGACTACAGGCTATTTACAGTAATCAGTATGTGTAACTTAACCCATGCAATATACTGGGAAGTATTTATTCCACCTCTGGCATCAAATGTACAGTTCTACTGTTAATGTCAAATATATATATATATATAAGGTTACATTGCACTGAATAATTGTTAACTGTCATTTTTATCCAAATACATTTAACCGTTCGGTCCATCTTAACTGACAAGTTATGACAGATGCATGCTTAGTCTTATATCGTCTTATCAAAACACCCGGAAACAGACTGCGCCCGCAGGCACAGATTTTACCTAAGATTTTTGAAAGCAAAGAAGTAATATCTAGCATTGTCAACAAATAAACTCACCGTTATTCCATATTTAAGGGCTATACCCATCATGGTATCCGTTTCCGATATCTTGTGTTTAATGTATGTCGTACTTTTTGGAGCCAGTTTTGTTGTAGTTCCGTACTTCGTCTGCTTCTGTACATATTTGCCCAGGAACTGCTTCTCGTTCCCACCACCTTCGGCCATTTTGGCCAAATACACAGAAATCACGTGATTTGTTTCTGATACAGTGTCAAATAAACGCTTGATTGTCAAAAATAATGTTCATTCGTGTTATTATCTTTGTCGTATCGCACAAATTTTATTCATACAGGCCTTTTAATTTTAGTATAAAACATCACATAACGCCTTCGCGTTACAACATATCACATTTCTACTCATTTCGGGATAACCGGAAGTAGTGAAAAGTCATCATCAACAGTGCGTTTGGAAGCAAGGAACTTAGCACACACTTGTCAAGTGATATATGGTTTCATTCGATTGTGTATTCAGCGAAAATCCAACATGAGTTATCAACTTTACCGAAACACCACACTGGGGCATACACTACAGGAGAGTTTAGACGAACTCATACAGGTATATCCCTCGAAGTCACTTCGCTTTGCCGTTTTAAAATGAAAGAAACCAAAATTTTGTTTTGATGACTGGAGACATTGTCTGGAAAGTATGCTCATGCCATAGGCATAGTCCTGGACTGATGTAGACCAAAATTGTTGTCATAAATTTATCATTTCAGAGACAGAATTGTTTGGTCTAGGAATCGTCGATTTCGATCTTGCCTCAGAAAAATGATAATCATTCACTCTTGCAAAAATATAATCATCAATTTTGATACAACAGATCTGGATCAGTATGATGATGAAGAGTCGATGACGTAAATAAACAGATTGGTGTATTCGAAAAAAATACTGTAAAATCGCCCATTCACATTTTCAATTCAATATTTCGATATGCACTTTTATAAATCTAACTATAGTCGACATATATTCCACTCGGCTAGAGAGAATTAACCGTTAGTTTGATCGGATGAATATAAAATAGTAAGCCCGAGACCTTTGGGTGGAATCCTAGAAGTGTCCCGATAATAAATGATGACTATGGTTACAAATATTTTGATGTCTTTCTTTATATCTGTTTACATCAAATCATAGTGAAGCTTGTCTAATTGATTACCTGTATTGTGCAATCCATTTGGAGGTTGTGTCTGTGTGTATCTGTTTGTGTGTGTGCGTTTGTCGGGGGTGGGGGGGTGTTATACATACATAACTCATCTACAATGTCAACAAGCCCTGTGATCAAAGGAAAACAGTCTCTAAAGGAAGGCAATTTGATTGACAGTTTATTGTGGACCTTACGTCTACCTGTATTCGTCATCGGACGATGAAGTCATAGGACTAAAACTGAAAGTTTTAAAGAAATAAAAATGAAGATAAACAGTGGATAAATATGACCTGATTGACCCCTTATGTACATATGCTGTTACCTTAATAATCAGAGAATGTCACTTAAATTGTAAAGGAGCTGAAAAATGACAGCCAGACTGGGGTTGGAACTCAGGATCCTCTGAAATCTAACTGACTCTCAATCCAATAGAGCTAGCTGGTCATCAATGGTTGATCCAGTCCAGTCCCACTACAGAATTAAGTTCTTCTATTCACTGCCTTATTTTAGTGTGTTACACTTTATGTAGATTTCATAATTACTAATTGAAATAACTAAATATATATTTATTTACTTTGAATCTAGTTATTAAACATCCAAAACATGGAACATATGCAGGCTTCTGTCATTTCTAGTCATTATTGCAATTGTCATTGAGATTATTCTTACAATTTCTGAAACAAACAAAATTTCAATTTTCAAGTTTTTTCCTGTGCATGATCTTCATTGAAATTGAAAAGGATGTTTTTTTTTTTATAAGATTTAAGAACTGATAAATTGTAAATCATGAATAAATTTAACATACCTTGTTCAGCCATGTTGATGTTGGTAATTGTAAAATTTTCCTTGATACAGTCATCACTTATTGTCTGGTCAAACAGAACATTGCTGAAAGTCTGTAGTGCAATCATTATGAGACCTTTTTCTTAAGATAGAGTGCAAGTAACAAATGACAAATCTGAATTGTTTTTTTTTTTCAAATTTTGGCTTGAATTCTATGACTTGTAATCAGGTTTTAATCTACTTTCACATTTAAATCCCTTTAATTACAGTTGATGACACTGTCTGTTGACTTATTCTCCAATACCTGTAAGCTACAAAGTTTGAATTTTACATCCAGTGATCACAAACAGAAACACAAGAAAGGTCAAAGGTGCTGTGTCCTTCTGAAAACTGACACAATATCATATCATAAGGCATCATTAAGGATATAGCTCATTAATACTAGTTACAGTTTTAATTCTGAGGCTTGAAAAGGAATCAAATATTGGAGTTGTCTCCTCCTGTCACAGTTAATCCTGTACAATATTTTCTTTATTTTACAGTACGGGCAGATATCACCCCAGCTAGCCTTGAAGGTCCTGATCCAGTTTGACAAGGCGATCAACACTGCTCTAGCCAACCGTGTGAAGAACAGGATCACGGTGAAGGTGTGTGTTGGGTGTGTTGTGTAATAATGACAAATTCACCTGAAGGATAATTTATCTATGAGATATGTCATGATCAGTATCAGTAAGTTGTCCAGTCATTGATATATAAGGAAGTATTCTGAGGTCATTATGTTCCACATGAGTGGGTTGGTTTTACAACAATTCTTGTTGTAGTTTAGTATAACTGATATTTTCACTTTTTAAAAATTTTGCCATGATGTTGGAGTTTTTATATTACACATCAACAGGACAATTAAGAGTACTGTATCTCAATTTTGCACTGACTCTTTGTCTTTGTTTTTTATGCCCCCACCATTTATGGCTGGGGGCATATAGCGTTGCCCATGTCCGTCCGTCCCGTCCCGTCGTGTCCCAAATCAGTATATATCACCTAACAACTTCATTCGGACCTTTCACTATTATTTCACATGGGGGGTCGGGGGCATTCATGTCTTACAGACATTTTTTAGTTATATCAAAAACAAAACTAAAGCAATTTTGAAAATGGTTTCACCATTTTGCATTATCACTTGTTATAGAAGAATATATCAAAACCTTATTTGAGAAAATGTAGCAGAAATTGTGTTATATGAGTTGAAAATGAAAACTATTTTTTCACATTCAAACTGTTTTTAAAAATGGCTTTATTGTAATGTCATTATTTTTATATACAGCCATGTTGTTGTTGAATGGTCTCAAGTATAGGTATATGTTTGAGTTGAAAGTTGATTCTGAACATGTGGATTTGTATGAAAAAAATACATGGAACAATGTGAATGATAAGGTAAACTTGTCACAGTACTATGTCATGTTTTATAGTAAAAAGAACTGTTTGTGGAAAGTTATAGCCTGTAGCAAAGTTAGTTTAACTTACGGCCATACTCAGGTCAGTTCACTTGTTTATTTACAAGGGTCATAACTTAGTCATGCATGAGTGATCAGGGTACAGCGTTACTTCCTATTATGATTTTTTTTCTATCACACGTTTTAAGATTTGATTTAATAGTTGTGAAATTTTAAGTATTATTTTAGTATTAAATAATAAAATTCAAAATAGAAGCAATTTTTTTTTATAAAACTGTAAATAATAACAATGGAATAGTTTATACTCATACTGTAAAATTCACTATTTGTGTACAGCTGTAAAGTCATTTGATTTGGTACGGGATTTATACTCATTCATTCCATGGGTACTCATCATCCACAAATTGATTTGTCTACAAAGTGTTCACATTAGTATCATATTTATTCACAAAATCAAGTGTCCAGGAAACCCATCCACTCCCCCCCCCCCCATTTTTTTTTTTTTTTTAAAGCCCATGAAATTTGAACCCCACAAATAAATATGATTTTACAGAATACAAAGCCCTAAATATGGATGTCACTTAATTATATAAACCCAGTTTCACAATATTTTTCTGATAATATAAGTTCTGCAAGCAATAGAATCTTAGATTTGTGTCCATTTCAGGAGTTAATTATTTCTTAGACACGGGCATACCCATCAATAACATGAAAACTAAAAATATCTAGCTCGATAGTGTAATTCCATTATGTTATTATTTAAGTATCACATTACTACATGATGTACTCTATTTTTGATAAATCTCCAATTTGCCACCAAACTTTTTCACTTGATATTTTTAAGTTTATATTGAAATAAACTGGAGGCTCCAGCCCAAATCTGGAGACCTAACAGATTATGATATATCTATTTCATTTACTTAAAGTCATATATTATGGAATGGAATTTGATATGATATATAGATTGTCAGGTACAAACTTCTGTTGTTGTATTATCTGTAATAATATATTGTGTCAGCATAGTGTTAACAAAAATGATTTTTTTACAGGGAAAATTGAACACATACAGATTCTGTGACAATGTGTGGACCTTTGTACTGAATAACGTGGACTTCCGAGAAGTTCACGAATTCGCCAAAGTTGACAAAGTCAAAATTGTTGCCTGTGATGGAAAGAGTAAGTTTTTGGAAATTTTTAATTCTACCACCATCGAAGAACATTAAATTAAACAATAATGAAAAACAAAAACAAAAAAAAAGGAAGTCAGAACTTTTGTTTTCACTGACTTAATGGTCTATGATTGACTACAGTCTCCATAATAATAATTCTTTCACGTAAGAAAATTTTATTTGAAATTTTTCTAATACGTGCTGATAGGGATTTATGGATGTTATCCATGAAAATTACATTATTGTTATCTTGTCAGGATTTTATGGAAAATTGCCAGGAAAAATGGCAAAACCTGTCATTATCACAAACATTAAAATTTTTTTTTTATGTATGTATGACTAACACTTTGTAAACTTTCGTAATGTTGACTTTATTGAATACAAAATAGGTGTATTCAAAACCAACAAAGGGAGCTAACTCTTAAGTGACTTATCAACTTGGAACATGGTATATAGCCAAAGAGTTTTATTGAATATTATCCTATTTTCAGGTGCTGCTGGAGAACACTGAATGACTGCTGTGGAAATCTGTACAAGTGGATGGAAAGCTAGTGTAATAGTTGTGACTGAATCAAGTGTGTTAAATGGAAACAGAGCTATGAGTATGCAGAAGGGAGGCTACTCTTGGTGTGAGTGAAGGGAGATTATTTTAATGGTAAGAGTATGAATGATTATTATGACATCTAGGAGAAATGTGAGGACATGTGAATGGAGATCTGTGGGGATAAGTGAAGGGAGGCCACTCAAAGTGCAAGTAAAAAAACTACTCTTGATAGAGAGAAATCAAGATCAATTGGTGCAAGATGTTGTGATGAAGTCAAATTAGCGGAGTGAAAGCAGAAATGATTATTTTCAATTGTTTTCTAAACTTTCGAAGGCAAAATGAAAACTGCACTCGGATGTGTCGTGTTCATTATAGGCTGTAACAATAGATAGTACAATACACTGAAGGAATTGCTTTTGTTTGGTTTAACCCTTTAGGAACAAGATAGGATTCAAATTTTCAAAATCACAAGTTTATATTGTTGTAAGATCCATATCTGGGTTTTACATATCTGGGTTTTATATATCTGTGTTTTATATATACTTGGCTCACAATCAAGTATCCACATAATTTGTGTTTGAGACCAGCCTGTTGAAATAGTTTTCAATTCATTCAACATTACTTGAGATTGACCCTACATCATTGTGACCTGGTTGTTGAATTTTTTTAAGATGTGGTTCGTGAAAAAAATCAAGATATTGTAGTTTAACAATAGCTGTCATGTTATCAAAATATAATCCTGGTAAATGCTAATTTTTTATGTTGCTCGCAATTGGTTAGAGAGAACTTCTCTATAGCATATCTCATTGAGCGTAACACTTTTAAACCAGAGATCCAGGGTTCAAATCATAGCAGAAGCATTGTAGTGAATTCTGATCTCTGTTACCAGAAGCAAATCCTTAGAATTGATCTATTTGAGTCTGTATTTACTAAGGCCTTGTTAGGAAATGATGATGTTCTTGATCTCGTTTTAATCATGTTTGAAGTTTTCATCGGCCTCTGATTAACTCAGAACTTTTATCATTGATGTACTTTATCATTGCTGGACTTCAAACAGGGGAAAAAATGCTTTCTCTTAGAATAGCAATCGTTTCCTGGATTCCAGATATGGTTTTTAAGTTACAAGTTTTTTCTAAATGTTTCATAGCTTTAAAGGAAAAGAAAAAATGACAGTATGTTAAAAAATAATGATACAACGTACATCCCAGAAATGGCCACGAAATTGGAACAAATTTCTGAAAGAATTTACATGTGTTTGCCATAATTTGCAAATATTGTCAATTCAAGAAATTTTCTTGTAATGTCTTTTTTTTCAAATCTTCCAATGAATGAATGTCCAATCTTAATCCATTTGATTCGGTATAAGATATGGCACCAGATGGATGGATGAAAGCTTCTGTCAGTTTTATGTGTCAAGACCGTTACAGAAGATATCACTGATCATGTGTTTTAAGTGACTTCAGTAAAACAAAGGATGTTTAGGTGATTGTTGATGTTATTGTATGTATTCAGGGGTAAAGTTGTTCTCACTAAAAATCATGATGTCGTTAATTACAGTTCTGTAACATATATTAATGGGCTCATTTTTCACGGTTTTTATAAAAAAATTACTATTTCAAGAACACTTGATTCTTTGAATAGATGTGGTTCAATAAATCTATTTATACTAATTTAACAGTTCCTGGACTTCTGGATTATAAGTAGCAACAAATTCTACACATATAAATCCCCTCTGATAATAATTGATTTTACTATATTTATACAATGTTTTATGTTAAGTTTATCTTGGGTTTGTCAATTCATAAAGCACTTGTAAGTATGGACATTAGAACTCCATGATATACTGTATATATCTGGTACCTGATAATAAGCCAATGTCTGGTAATAAGCCCATGTCTGGTAAAATGTCAATGTCTGGTAATAAGCCCATGTCTGGTAATAAGCCTGTATCTTGTAATAAGTTCATGTCTTGTATAAAGGCAGTGTCTAGTAATCAGATCAATATTGTCTTGTAATAAGCCCATGTCTGGTAATAAGCCCATTCATTATAATAGGAAACTTGTTTTAATTAGATACTTGTGGTATTTAATGAGGAAAAAGGAAGTAAAAAAGTCTGAAATGTGAATCTTTGATGCTATGTGAAACGTTTTGTGACATTTATGTAGTACTGTATAACTGTAAAGTTTTGCTTTGTGGTATTAAAGATCTTTTTGGTGAAATTTGATCTAACATTTAGGTCAGTTTTCTGACCTATCACATTGATGTTGTATCAATAAAGTAATTTAATGTAATTACTATTTTTGTTATCAATTTACCATAATGTTGCAGTCATGGATTCTATATCTTTTGCATGGAGTGAAAGCAATGTATGTCTGTGTGATCACATATTTTAAAAAAAAAAATGTGTTATTAAGCAACAATAAGTGTTCTTGTAAAATTTTCAAATTACATTGAATCTGGAAAACATTGACATGGCATAAATTACCAACCCACAGTTGGTGTATTTGTATTGTAGTAACACAGGGACTTGGCATAAATTACCAACCCACAGTTCATGTATTTGTATTGTAGTGACACAGGGACTTGGCATAAATTACCAACCCACAGTTCATGTATTTGTATTGTAGTGACACAGGGACTTGGCATAAATTACCAACCCACAGTTCGTGTATTTGTATTGTAGTGACACAGGGACTTGGCATAAATTACCAACCCACAGTTCATGTATTTGTATTGTAGTGACACAGGGACTTGGCATAAATTACCAACCCACAGTTCATGTATTTGTATTGTAGTAACACAGGGACTTGGCATAAATTACCAACCCACAGTTCATGTATTTGTATTGTGACACAGGGACTTGGCATAAATTACAAACCCACAGTTCATGTATTTGTATTGTAGTGACACAGGGACTTGGCATAAATTACCAACCCACAGTTCATGTATTTGTATTGTAGTGACACAGGGACTTGGCATAAATTACCAACCCACAGTTCATGTATTTGTATTGTAGTGACACAGGGACTTGGCATAAATTACCAACCCACAGTTCATGTATTTGTATTGTAGTGACACAGGGACTTGGCATAAATTACCAACCCACAGTTCTATTGTAGTGACACAGGGACTTGTAAATTACCAACCCACAGTTTGTATTTGTATTGTCACAGGGACTTGGCTTTACCAACCCACAGTTCATTATTGGTATTGTCATCCCAGGGACTGACAAACGTTTGTGTATTTGTATTGTAGTGACAGTGTTCTGACAACCAGCATCCCCCTCTGAAGGGATGTAGCCCTATGTTGCAGAATAATTTCTATTAATCTATCTATTATATCTGGTCCATGTATATATGAATTTCAGTGACACAGGGACTTTGCATGACTTCCCAACCCAGGGTCAATAGACATGTATTACAGTGCCTGAAAAGATAGGAAAATGTAACTAGTGCAATAAAGCTCATATTGCTTTCATTCTATTACCAGGTTTGAGTTGGGATGGATTTGTAAGATCAGTTCAAACAATCCTGGTGCAAATTTTTTCTTTAACATTGTGTATACAGGTATTTTTTTTTTTCTGGAATAATTTATGTGCTCAGGAGAACACCTCTTATAACATTCACATCAAGTATGCAATACACAGTAAATAGAATGTTAAACTCAAATTGAATCTAGGCCAAAACATTAACGAAGTAAGGAGAACAAGACCAGGTGTTCTGAAAGAGTAAGAACATTTTCCTTCGTCAGCGACACCAGCCATGGAAGTCTTGATCATTCCAGTCAAAATAAGTAATGTCACGTTGCAGATTCAGAACGAGGTAAACAACAACTGAACTATTAAGCAAACTAACGAGCATCAAGCACATCATACTTCTTATCCTGAAGAAAATAGCATATTTCCTAACGAGATTATGACGTCAGTAAAACTTACACGTGATCTTCGTCAAGTTCACACTACACCAGTAAAATTGCTGATGACGTCAAATGACCTTCCGTGAATGATAAAATAGGTTTTCAGTCAATGTATTTGCAAGGTTTCTCGGTCGATAAACATCCAAGGTCATTTTGGACCGGGGGTCTTCTTGTAGTAGCTGGTCTTAACCTCACTGAACAACATATGTTAGGCCCACCGCATGCCATCCAGAGCAATAAGGTTAAGTGATTTACCGAAAGACACAGTCACGACAGTCCAGACAGGTCCATTTCTCATCCCACTGCGGAAGGGGGTGTCGAAACATACACATTCATCTTCACCTGAGGTGAGCATCAAGGCCTAGCTATGGCGGCCCCTAACACATCATTAACACATATATAACTTTCAACACATTTCTTTAATTTACTTAAGTTTCCGTGTATCAAATATTAAAGTATATAAATATTGTGTGGATATTGAACGTTTAGCTGTAAAATTTTATCTTAATGTATATTATAAAGTAATACTTCCGATATAAAGCCGTTTATGTTATATAACACAATGAGTCTCGGCGATTGGTTTTCTATATAAAATTAATATTGTAAATGTCTTTTGAAGTTATGATAACAATTAATCACGATGAAAATTTAAATGTGAGCTGTGTTTCTGCCATTCTTTCGTTGTAGACTTTGTCAAATTTTTCACTATCTGCCACTGTGAACCAGTTCTTCCAGTCCCCGACTTCTCCTGTTAACACGAAATACAGTATTATGTGTAAAGATTGTCTAGCTGGTACAATTCCAGCACCACATCGCCTTTACTGTGGAAAATAGATATACGGGCATACAATCACGGACCGATAGAATGACTCAAAAACAAAAACATAAAGTCAGCTGGCTTTCCGTATAACAGAGACAGACCGGGAAAAGAACCACGCCCACTTGTATCATCACCAGCACTTATATGACAATAGGACCAGACGAAAATCACCGCTCTTTGTACACTACAAAGACTGGGAATATGCATTTCTAAAACACAAATATTTCGTTATATCCTTTATTTACAAATATTTCGTTATTTCCTTTATTTACAAATATTTCGTTATATCCTTTATTTACAAATATTTCGTTATTTCCTTTATTTACAAATATTTCGTTATATCCTTTATTTACAAATATTTTGCTATATCCTTTATTTACGGCTGGTTTTTGTTATAGATTTATGATGGTGACCATGTGATGTTTTCCTTACAAAATTTGTGACATGAGATACACAAGTATTCACCTTTTCTATATAATATCTGAGATCCATCTCTACAAATATTTCGTTACATACTTTATTTACAAATATTTCGTTATATCCTTTATTTACAAATATTTCGCTATATCCTTTATTTACAAATATTTCGTTATATCCTTTATTTACAAATATTTCGTTACATCCTTTATTTACAAATATTTCGTTACATCCTTTATTTACAAATATTTCGTTACATCCTTTATTTACAAATATTTCGTTACATCCTTTATTTAAGGCTGGTTTTTGTTATAGATTTATGATGGTGACCATGTGATGTTTTCCTTACACAAGTATTCACCTTTTCTATATAATATCTGAGATCCATCTCTGGCGAAGGTTCTGAACCGTGGGTCGGGGTTCCTCCGCTTGTCTTCTACAGTCTGTGTAAACGAACATTTATCTGCAATCTTATCCAAAACATCCCTGTCAACTTTCTTTCCGAGAAAAATAGCAACTTTCTCAACTTCCCGACGAAGATTCTGAACAAAAGAAACAAGAAAAAAAAACCCGAAATGTCAAATAAAGTCTTAATTCACGCGCATATGACGAAACTAGGGTAACATATGAAATAAATATTGATTTACACACAGACCCCCGAAAATGTACAACGATAATAAAACGAGATGTTCCAGGCCGTAACCTTGTAGTTGGGGGACAATAATTCCCCAAGATTGGCCGTAACCTTGTAACTTGTGGACTCTCTATACTGGTGGACTATCAGTCCCCGAGGTTGGTCGTAACCTTGTACCTGGTAGACTATCAGTCCCCGAGGTTGGTCGTAACCTTGTACCTGGTAGACTATCAGTCCCCGAGGTTGGTCGTAACCTTGTACCTGGTAGACTATTAGTCCCCGAGGTTGAACGTAACCTTGTACCTGGTAGACTATCAGTCCCCGAGGTTGGTCGTAACCTTGTAACTTGTGGACTCTCTATACTGGTGGACTATCAGTCCCCGAGGTTGGTCGTAACCTTGTATCTTGTGGACTCTCTATACTGGTAGACTATCAGTTCCCGAGGTTGGTCGTAACCTTGTACCTGGTAGACTATCAGTCCCCGAGGTTGGTCGTAACCTTGTATCTGGTAGACTATCAGTTCCCAAGGTTGGTCGTAACCTTGTAAGTCCCCGAGGTTGGTCGTAACCTTGTATCTTGTGGACTCTCTATACTGGTGCACTATCAGTCCCTGAGGTTGGTCGTAACCTTGTACCTGGTAGACTATCAGTCCCCGAGGTTGGTCGTAACCTTGTACCTGGTAGACTATCAGTCCCCGAGGTTGGTCGTAACCTTGTACCTGGTAGACTATCAGTCCCCGAGGTTGGTCGTAACCTTGTACCTGGTAGACTATCAGTCCCCGAGGTTGACCGTAACCTTGTACCTGGTAGACTATCAGTCCCCGAGGTTGACCGTAACCTTGTACCTGGTAGACTATCAGTCCCCGAGGTTGACTTCGAGTTCTTCCTGCCTATGTGTAAACTGATGAATTAATCAATGGAAAGTCATGTCTAGTAAGAAATTCACTACATAACGAACACCTTGTATAAATAATTGAGATAAAGAGAACGACATGGGAATCTAAAATTTTAATGTTTATACTTTAATGTTATACTTTTAATGTTGATAAAAATAATTCATACTTACTGATTTCATATCTTCAAAATTTATCCATAAAAATGGTACTTCCGGTTTTGTCTTTGGAAATTGTTCCCAGGTTAAAACGCTACGGAACCAGGAATCGTAGGGCACTGTGTGATGAGAATCTACACGGATATCAGGGGGCAACAAATGCAATGGAAAGGTTATATTAAAAGATACAGAAAATAAATTAACTGATGTATCACTCTGGAAAATTTTACTGTCAGTGTGTCACTGATGGAACAATGGAAAAAGAACATGGCTTTAGCGAAACCCTTAACAATAGATACATTATCACGTGGACTTCTATAAGAATATATTTCATTATTGAAGTATTTGAAAATGTTATCATTTTCTGTAATTTCCTTTTTAAATATAGCGTTGAAAAGTAATGTAAGGTGTATTTCATTATACCTTACGTAATTATTTTGTTATGATCAAGACGAAAAAACAATTTATGATAAATTTGCCTCTATATCTAAATAGGTTCTGCCCTACCGTTCCCATTAAGGAACCTGTTCACGTAGGAATAACTGAACTCGCCATCGAACGCCGTTCCGGCTAGCTTCTTGACGAAACAGAAATGAGAAACTACAACATCCTTAGGGTTCCTGCTCATGTATATGACCTTGACCCGACCTTGATTTAGTTGCCATGGTAACCGGTCTATCGGTATATGTGTGATAAGTATCCTTGGTGACGGGGCGTTGTTTATGACGTCAATACTTTCTACATCCAGCCAGTATTGTTTGCGACAGTAAGATGTGTGGTCGTGTAATAACATGTATACAACTTCGTAAATCCAGTGTGTACCTGTAACCATAGCAACCGGATAATTAAACTGTCAAGAAAAAAATTTCAGATATGTGTACCATAATAAATATAAGCTTTATTTATTTTACGACAATTTCGAAACAATTTATTTCAACTAATCACCCGTGTTGGCCCGGATGCACGCGATTATTGTGGAAGGAAACCGGAGTACCCGGGAAAACCCGCAAATGGTTTGGCAGATGACCCCTAAGCTTTGCAAGTTCTTACCGGGAATCGAACCCCGGACACTGAGCTATGGGAAAGGCGAGTGCGATACTATTGCACCACCCGACCATCCATTGTACACCCACTCAATCAAAAATTAAAAGGTCTATAGCAAAAAAAATAAATGGAACAAGATCTGTCGTTTCTCTCCCATTCCATCAGACTATTGGTCTAAGTTAAAGTTATATACACCATGTGATCTGTTCTGGGTGCCGTGACCAGGACATCCGGGCCCCCGTAATGTAGGATTCTTCATTTGTTACGGTTATCATCATTGATAAGTTATATCTAAAATGTGAAAGTTTTAGGTAACTGTTAAATCTTAATGATTTGAAAAATAAAACATAGTATTAAGTGACTGTGACCGACTTTATCAGTTTATTGACAAGTGTGTTCAACTAATATATATATATACTTCGTTATATTGAATTCCGTTTTTCACTCAGAGAATGTGTTAGCAAGAGCTTTTGACATAAACATTTCAACTTTACCACTCCAATTCCTCACAGTGTACCCATCCCCCAACCCCCCGACTCTCCCTACAAAAAAAATGAAAAAAATAAAACAAGAAATCTTCCTGTTAAATATTACCTTATCATTAATGGTATGAATGACCCAAATTGACACATTTCTCTACCTGATTTTGGATATGACGTGATCAAAATATCATCGTCCCTCAGTTCCATGTCCCGGATGTGACGTAGATGATCAGGAACTTCATCCGTAAATTCATACGGATAATTAAAGCCGTCATACGGTTTCATTTTTAGCTCGAGTTCAGCCTTTCCTCTGTCCTGATTTTCATGTTGACCTTCCCGGTCCATCATGGCCGGTGTATTCTGAGACTGTAGCTATATATAAGCAAACAAATCGTTCGTGATTACAAAGTTTACAAGAATATTTTGGTTAAAAGTACCACCAAGACCATAGATATGAGATTTGAAAAGTGAGTGGTACAGGCCCTATCGACCACTTACTTTAAATTTAGGGATCCTTACACTCGCTTATAATCACTTTCAAGTCTAACATTTCCTTAGAAACCCCATCTGTAACAACAACACAATTTGATGATGTAGATCACATAATGTTTACCTGTTATCCGTGTTTACGTCCTCGTTCCGACTTTAACCCTCATGAACCCTGATGTATAACTAGCAGCACATCATCTACACGTTTATACCTTGTAAAGCTGTGTGTACTGATTGTCCTCGTTCTCACTGTTGATATATATATATAAATATACTGTACGGCTGTGTGTGCTGATTGTCCTCGTTCTCACTGTTGATATATATATATAAATATACTGTACGGCTGTGTGTACTGATCGTCCTCGTTCTCACTGTTGATATATATATATATATATAAATAAATACTGTACGGCTGTGTGTACTGATTGTCCTCGTTCTCACCGTTGATATATATATATATATATATATATACTGTACGGCTGTGTGTACTGATTGTCCTCGTTCTCACCGTTGATATATATATACTGTACGGCTGTGTGTACTGATTGTCCTCGTTCTCACCGTTGATATATATATATACTGTACGGCTGTGTGTACTGATTGTCCTCGTTCTATATATTATATATATATATATATATATATATATATATATATATATATACTGTACGGCTGTGTGTACTGATTGTCCTCGTTCTTACCGTTGATATATATATATATATATATATATATATATATACTATATGTGTGTACTGATTGTCCTCGTTCTGTGTATATATATATATATATATATGTATACTTGTGTGTACTGATTGTCCTCGTTCTCACTGTTGATATATATATATATATATATATATATATATATATATATATATACTGTACGGCTGTGTGTACTGATTGTCCTCGTTCTCACTGTTGATATATATATATAAATATACTGTACGGCTGTGTGTACTGATCGTCCTCGTTCTCACTGTTGATATATATATATATATATATATATATATATATATATATATATACTGTACGGCTGTGTGTACTGATTGTCCTCGTTCTCACTGTTGATATATATATATATATATATATATATATACTATGTGTGTATATTGTCCTCGTTCTCACTGTTGATATATATATATGTACGGCTGTGTGTGCTGATTGTCCTCGTTCTCACTGTTGATATATATATATATATATATATACTGTACGGCTGTGTGTACTGATTGTCCTCGTTCTCACTGTTGATATATATATATATATATGTACTGATTGTCCTCGTATCACTGTATATATATACTGTACGGCTGTGTGTACTGATTGTCCTCGTTCTCACCGTTGATATATATACTGTACGGCTGTGTGTACTGATTGTCCTCGTTCTCACTGTTGATATATATATATATGTGTGTACTGATTGTCCTCGTTCTCACTGTTGATATATATACTGTACGGCTGTGTGTACTGATTGTCCTCGTTCTCACTGTAGATATATATACTGTACGGCTGTGTGTACTGATTGTCCTCGTTCTCACTGTTGATATATATATATATATATATATATACTGTACGGCTGTGTGTACTGATTGTCCTCGTTCTCACCGTTGATATATATACTGTACGGCTGTGTGTACTGATTGTCCTCGTTCTCACTGTTGATATATATACTGTACGGCTGTGTGTACTGATTGTCCTCGTTCTCACTGTATATATACTGTACGGCTGTGTGTACTGATTGTCCTCGTTCTCACTGTTGATATATATACTGTACGGCTGTGTGTACTGATTGTCCTCGTTCTCACTGTTGATATATATACTGTACGGCTGTGTGTACTGGTTGTGTGTGTACCCTCGTTCTCACTGTATATATATATATATATATACTGTACTGTGTGTGTACTGATTGTCCTCGTTCTCACTGTAGATATATATACTACTGTTGTCCTCGTTCTGTATATATACTGTCTGTGTGTACTGATTGTCCTCGTTCTCACTGTAGATATATATACTGTACGGCTGTGTGTACTGGTTGTCCTCGTTCTCACTGTAGATATATATACTGTACGGCTGTGTGTACTGATTGTCCTCGTTCTCACCGTTGATATATATACTGTACGGCTGTGTGTACTGATTGTCCTCGTTCTCACTGTAGATATATATACTGTACGGCTGTGTGTACTGATTGTCCTCGTTCTCACTGTTGATATATATACTGTACGGCTGTGTGTACTGATTGTCCTCGTTCTCACTGTAGATATATATACTGTACGGCTGTGTGTACTGATTGTCCTCGTTCTCACCGTTGATATATATACTGTACGGCTGTGTGTACTGATTGTCCTCGTTCTCACCTTTGATATATGTACTGTACGGCTGTGTGTACTGATTGTCCTCGTTCTCACTGTAGATATATGACTGTACGGCTGTGTGTACTGATTGTCCTCGTTCTCACTGTAGATATATATACTGTACGGCTGTGTGTACTGATTGTCCTCGTTCTCACCGTTGATATATATACTGTGCGGCTGTGTGTACTGATTGTCCTCGTTCTCACTGTTGATATATATATAAACTGTACGACTGAGTGCTCTGATCTGATTCTCGTCGTTAACGTTTCATATTGTCATTACATACTATCTGACTCGCACCACGCCTCTCTTTCCGACAGTCTAAAAGTATCAAACAGTGGTTTTCTAACCTTGTAAAAGGTTATTTTTTTGAAATGTTGATAAATTTAAAATCATTCCCCCGCTTATAAGCGACTTCACAATTTCGTTATCTCGCGTTGGGTTATGTCGTCATTTCGTTACGTCGCTGTGAAATGACGATTATTAGCTTGGGCGAAAAGACGAAGGTTCTGTTTGGGCGACAAAACGAAACAACAAAATGACACAAATCAGCCACAGTAATGATCCCACATATAAGCTTGACCTTCGTCTATATTCTACCATTTCATTTTTCTGTTCTATCGCCCCGACCAGGGACGCCCCTGCCCCGACAGAACGACGACCGTCATCCCGCAGCGGCATAACGGAAAGACAGCATAATCAACGCGAGATATCGAAAACATACCGTCACTTATTTGCGGGGCGAATTAATTCGTACGATGAAATCCTGGCCAAAGCCCGTGGAATCATCAGCAGAAGTCAGTTTCAAATTGACTGAAAATTCAGGTATACATGGATCTATATCTATTCAACCTGTCGGACGATTTGGTCAATTTTCAGGGACCTGATAATTTGATACAGTCACAATGTATTAGGATCTGTCCTGGTCTGTGGGTTTGGGGTGTCTGATCAATATCCGGGCAAATGGCACCCATGTAAGATACATATAAGTGTCGAATATTGATCTTACCTCCTCTCCTCCCCCAGTTCAATAAAAAAGGAAGGGGCAGACTAGGGAGGGCCAATTGTCCAATCGTCAGGTCCAATTTGTGGCGCCTGTGACTTTATATAGAATCGAAGTGTGACATTTATGTATTACGTCTTGTTGTCAAGGAGGAAAGGTAATCTTTGGATACGTCACCAGATAACAATAAAACATGAACTGTTCTGTATGTAACTCAGCTGTCGTAGCATTCTTCTTTGGCTCAATTGTTAGATCCGTGGACTGCCACAACGGAGACCCAGGTTCGATTCCTGTTGGCTCTATTCAGTTTTTAAACGTTACCTGTAAAATTGCATTTATTAAAACACAACAGGGACACTAGTTCTTTTACACATCATTTCTGATCAATACATGCGAGCTATGGAAATATTAGATTGGAGGGTTTCCTGAAGTTTAAAAACCCCAAAAGGCCCAAAACCAAACCAAATAGGGTACTGTGTTGTGTTGGATTTTCGCTACACTTTTACTCCTCACAATCCTTTTGTTAGCCATTAAGAAAATAAGCGAGGAGTTCCGATAGTTCTGCAGCGGACCTTCCGAAGTAAGAAAATGGCTGCCACCGGTCGAGGCAGAGGTAGGGGACGAGGATTGCTTCAGCAAACTCCGACTGCTCCTGGGCACCAAAAAGAATCAACGGTAATTGACGTCACGAGGAATATCCTTAAGGTTTAGTCAAAGGTTTCAGTAAATATTGATGCTCTGTTTTTGAATGCACACGCATTATGCAGCTTCTCTGCTGAAAGCACCTGTTCGAAACGTCACACGCGTGTTTCGGGTGTAAGTACGGATGTTGGTGATTTGATAGCATCTGTCAGTGTAATGGTATGGGATCCCACAGAAAGCTGAAACTTTTTTTGGTGTTTTACAATTGGGTGTATAGTACATAATAAAACATCAAAATATTGGAAATTAGACTTGTATCTATCATATCTAAGAGAAAGGTCCTAGAGGCTAGAATCGTGTTCGTTAATGACATGTTGGTTTGCATGTCAAAAATAGTGGGTTAATTCCACTAAGAAACATTTTTATTAGATTTTTTTTTTTAAATTCGACTCACAACTGTCGTATTTGAATTACCGAAATGATAGAAAACGGACCTGATGTCAACATTTTTATGGGAATGGACCCATTAGAGCATTATTTGATGTAAGTTATGATCATTTGTAAAATATTGAGGGATTATTTTACTTTCATCTATCGTAAATTAATTTTCAGAAAATTTCGTGATTCACAGTTGAATTTTGCCAAAGCTGATCTACAGAAATAGAGATAAATGAACTAAAAATCAACATTTTTACAGGAGAGTGGACTGCATTCTTTGTTATTTATTTTGGTCGTATGTAGAAAGAATTAGTGTTTATTTTCAGGGAGCATAAAAAATAAGTTTCAAGCAATGCCACCAAAAGCCTATTCAATGTCATATGTTTTGTCCAAGATTTACCACTGAAATGGAGAGAAATGAACCTGAATTTGGCCTTTTATCAAGAAAATTGAAGCAATAGAGTGATCTATGACATTCAATTAGGTTATATTTAGAAAATTTGGGCTGTATAAAACTGACAAGTATTTCAAATTGATATTTCAAATAACCACAACTCATGATTTGATTTTTGACTTCCCTTAATGGCTCTAGGTGTAAGTAAAGAAGGAGTCGAAAACGGGAAATCCGGAATAGTTCTTGTACTTACTAATCTTCTTGAAAATTTGCGAAATAAATTGACAGCATTATTTCATTTTTCTATTATTGGCTGTAAGTAATTATGGACTCAAAATATGCATAAATATCACATCATTTCTCCACAAATACAATGAGCATAGCTGCATGTGGGCAGTGCTTAAAATCACTTCATTTTAGCGACTATCACCAAAAAAACACAGGAAAACCACAGTTAAGTGAGGAGAGAAACTATGGATTCATGCCTGAAGGGTCATACAGGTTTGTTTTTTTAATCGGCTAGTGCATTCCAAGTGTTAAAAAATAAAAATACTTATTGTAGAAAATACCTCATGATTTTTGAGAAATAAACTAATATGTCAATAAAGAAGGTAATGCCAGGTCCATTCTCTCCAAACACAGCCATTGTAAGTCTCAATTTCCTCCATTTTGGTAAATTAAAAAGGTCATCGCTTTGTCCGTCCGTCCGTCATAATTTTGTCCAGATCATAACACATAAACTATAAGAGCTATCAACATAAAATTTCATAGGTAGAAAGATCACAGCAAGGAGAAGTGTAGTGTGCAAGAACCATCACTCCTTTTTGCATAATTTAGGAGTTATTGCCCTTTGATATTTTTCCTACTTAAATTTTGTCCCAATTGGGGTGCATAACCTGTCTGTGACGACCCTTGTTTCTTTTGATAGACCAATTAAGCTTAGAGCAAATAAGTCCAAGATCATGGAATAGTCTGATCCCTAGCAGAGGCATTGAAATCTTATAGCTAATGATCATGATCATGACTGCTGTTACAATGGCACCCAGGCAAAATTTTTAAAATATGCCTCCCACTGTCTTTTATTGAAAACACAAAGTAAACACTGATATAGTGTATAAAAGGAGTCAATACAAGTTTGCTCCTAAAGATGTTGTGTTGTAAATACTGTTAAACCAATTGTCTATGTTCTAATTTAAATTTCTGTTGGTCAGAGCGAGAATGGACTTGATGAGCTCAGCATGATGATCAACAATCTTACACTAAACATTGATGAAGATGATTTAACTCAAATTCATCAGAAAACAGAAAAAGCTGTAAAGAGTTCTGACGACCTTAAACGTATTGCGGAGATGATTTATCAGAAGTGCCTGAAGGACATGGAATTTGCTAAATGTGGTGCTTGTATCTGTGACAGAATGCAGGATGTGGAAGTTCAGGGTTCAAAGTTCAGGACAACAATGTTGGCTCTCGTTCAGAAAGATTTCAAAGGTAGGTATAGTATTACTCCATTACTCCTACTGGTCAGCAGATTTATTATCTGATGTTATTGTGACAACTGTGACTTAAGTTTGTAAACTTCTAACATTGTCCAAGTAGGCAACAGTACAAGTAAAAAGAAGAGACATACAGACCAAAAAAATGTATCAAAACCAACAGGCAAACTTTTCACAAGGTCAAAGTCACACCTGTTAAATTCAGTGAAATTCACTTTTAAAAACCTTATTTTATAAAAAAAAATATGAGGGAAGCATAACAGGTTAAAATGAAATCTGTTTAAAAAAAATATGTGTAGTATTAATGGGTACCAAGGTACATGTTATATTAATGGGTACCAAGGTACATGTTATATTAATGGGTACCAAGGTACATGTTATATTAATGGGTACCCAGGTACATGTTATATTAATGGGTACCCAGGTACATGTTATATTAATGGGTACCCAGGTACATGTTATATTAATGGGTACCCAGGTACATGTTATATTAATGAGTACCAAGGTACATGTTATATTAATGGGTACCTAGGTACATGTTATATTAATGGGTACCCAGGTACATGTTATATACACGGGTACCCAGGTACATGTTATATTAACGGGTACCCAGGTACATGTTATATTAATGGGTACGGGTACCCAGTACTTGTTGTATTAACAGGTACCCATGTACTTATATGAGTCCATCATTATGATGTAATTTATTCTAATTATGAAAAATTACAAATATAGATAATAATATATATGATGAGAAGCCACAACATGCTTTTATTTCTTGCTCAATAATCATTTGCAAATGTAACCACTTTGAACAAATGCTTCACTTGGTTAGAATACAGAAATTGATGTGCTGCTGAAATTGTGATATCTAGTTTTTGCCACTCTTTCCTTTGTTTTAAATCATAGATATTCTTTATAAGTATTTTTCAAATGTATTTTATTATTACAAAGAATGATTTGATTAAATTGATTTAACTTTCTATTTTAACAGATAAAGATATAACAAGGAAGAACAATTTGAAGAAATATTTGGGATTTTTCACATTTTTGTGTCAAATATTTAGTAATATGCGCCTAAAACAAGGTCAGTGTCTGGAGCCGCTGGTCGCACCGATTTATGACTGCCTTGAGATGAGTGTTGATGACCAGCAATGTAAAGATGATGAGCTGGAGACTTTTTCTCTACAAGTAAGGTCGTTGTATATATCTGTTTCCTGGGATGAGGAAGTTAAAAGATTTTTCCACCATAAGTAATGTCCCATTTTTAGGATGTGGAGATCATGTCCTCATCATTCACATCCTTTAAAATTGTTCCTGTTATTTATGACCAAAATTGGAGATGTTTGTGCATTTTGCCCACGAAAAAGTAATTATGATTCTTTCTTTGAATACATGACATTAAAATTGATATTTCTTTCCAGTTACAAGTGATTGGAAAGGAGTTGGATTCTACCAACCAAAGCCGAATGAATGCACTCATGGAAAAAATAAGAATGAGGATTATACAAGATGGGTAAGGACAGTAGAATAACTTTAGTTGACATTTTCACAAAACAGATATACATATATATGTAGTATAATTGCTGCAAAAGTAACCATTATTGTAATAATCATCTCTTCCAGCATATGTCACTCTTTCTCAAAATCATCAGATCAGCAGAATTATTTGTCATTGATTCCAAAAAAAAAGTCTGGTTTTCTGAAGTTGACAATACATTGTTACTCAAATATTTAGTGAACATGCAGTTGAACTGGTGAAACTTGAGAACAGTGTAATACATAGGTTTCCAACCACAGAGATAGTGTTTTTAGAAGGGGGGAATTTGTGCTGTATACTATAGTTATTACTTATGATATTCTATAGTAAGCCCCTCCCCTAGAAACATTTTTAAAGGTAGGTAACACAGGCCCTATGGGCCCCTTGTTACCTACTCTTGTGTCTCCAACAGCTTTCATTTCTTCCTTGTAGAAATATTATTGGCATTCTAATGTTAATTGTTTCAGGTTAACAGCACGAGGGAGATGTACACTACTGGAACTTGTTGAATGTTACGCTCGATCGTGGAAGACGATGCCAAATGACATCACTCGATTTTATTGTGACGCCATGGCTGATGTCTTAGCTGGAATGGTGATATGAGACAGAAAATGGTCACTAGTGGTTGAGATACCTTTTGTTTCTGACAGGTTGGGTTGATCCAGAATGAGATAGACAACACAACAACTGGTTGCCATAGTTACTGTAGAGTGAAAGTTAAATAAGGACTGATTCTGAGTAAAATAGACAGTATTATCACAAATAGCAATCTCAAGTACCTTAGATACCTCTGTATTGGAATGATCCAAAATCTAACCATGTCCTAGATATTCCATTCTCTGTCTTTGGGGAGGTCAGGTATACCATCAAGAGATACTTTATCAGTAAACTGTATGTCAAGGTGAATTTGTGTTGAAGTTTGAAAATGTTTGACATGTCACGGGTAACATTCCTAGCTAGGAAAACTGATTAGCCTTTTAGTCAGATTGTCAATGATAGAATTTATACTCTAGGTAATAGATGGAGATTTCTGAAGATGTGTCTCCATCTTTTGTTTATTTGATATTCCTGTAAAACAGTAAATACGCCATTTTATACTTGTTTTACAATGACCTTGACCTTTTATTTAGGGGCGTATACTATCACTTTTGTCCCTCTGTCCTGTTATGAATCATTGTCAATACTTGAGAACTTGAGAACAGATTTAATCTATATTTACAGTATAGTATACTAACATCCTTTCCCTGATCAGGTTATTTTGCATATGAACACAGGAGCTGGGGCAATTTTCACTTAAGACATTTTCTACTTTTTTTCACCTTTGCATAAGATGGAATCTTCCATTCAGTGTAAATAAGAAAATGGTAAACTGTTTTGTTAATGCCAATTATTAACATGTTTACAACAATAGTACTTTTTTTTTAATATGTTCATATTTTTTTTTAAATCTTGCTTTTGAATATGACAAGTATTTTAACATATACAGGTAACATGACATTATGATAAAAAATTATTTCAAGAATATTTTTTCGACATAAAACATGTTTATTTACATCAGACGTATCAAAACTGTCTAGAAAAAAAGCACATACCATAGGTATTTCTCTGTTACTGATATTAAATTATTGTGAAGAAGTTTTAGATATTCAAATGAACTGCCTCCCTAGATTAATCTTATCTACATTCTGTTATTAAAATAGTGGTCCAGGAGTGAAGACAACCCTGCTTATTTGTTATATATCAGGGTTTATTCCATCATATATCTTCTACAGCTGGTTGTCGATATGTTTTAGCATTAAGTTAGGCCATCATCAGGGCTTACATGATAAACAGTAACAGTGACAATAGAGGTTGTGTGATTACAATAGATTATGACGTCATCAGTAACACAAACTCCACTGCAGATCCTGGACAAATTCGACTGAATTAAGCATTTGAGGATGGAGAGAGCCTGATTCATCAGTGTCTTTACATACTGAGGTTCTCTGGTAAAACCTAATCATTCTAGAATGAAAACCATTTGTATACTGTATTCATTTGACTTCATTTAATTGTAGTGAAATATTTAAAGATTAGGGAGCTCTCCTCTGGGAGTTATGGCAAGGATTTTATGGTTGGAGTGCTCTCCCCTGATTGCTATACCAAGGAATGTTGTGACATCCAAGAATTACTTCCTTATTTGGTTTGGTTCCAGTTTTTAGTTTGTGTAATATAGAAAAAGTGGCCTGAAGATATTGTACTCCCTTTTGTCAAACACAGCACTTTTATCACAAACATAGGTTATAGTCATTTTCAGATTTTGTTTTGTTTCCTCCAATTTTGAATTTTGCATTTGACTGGTGATGGCTGTGATAAATCTATTGACAATCACTACAACACTCAGTTTACAAATCCTATAGAGGACAGTGATATTTGTTCATTAACCTGACACAGGCATATCACTAATTACAGAAATATGCTTGGAATGAGGATCCTGTGCCTTTTAATTAATCATAAAGAGTAATTAAATTCGTAAATCAATGAAAAAATAGACTGGCTCAGCTTGTACCTAGTAGATTTTATCTCCACTACAATCATGAATTTTATTTTATCTAAACGAATGTATTTATATACATCATTGAAACATGTATATAGTTCTATCCATCACTCCTTCTGAACTGGTAAATCTATACCCTCACGTCCGTCCTACAAACTTATAGTCCATATATCATGACTTATGTATCTGGGGTATATATACAGGTAAAATTACAAAATACAACCTACAATTTTGTAAATTCAGAATTTACACTAACAATTTACCAATATGTTTTGATGAAATTATAGTATATGTAGGTAATGTGTTTAGTTCCTCCTCAACATTTGTGTGGTGTTAATAGAATGTCATTTATTGTTTCTAATTGATGTGTCGCACATTGTTGACAAATATTTTTAAGTTTTGGATTTTTTGTCATTGGTCTGACCTGTACCCTCAACTTCTACATATTTATGTCTTTGGTGAGAATTTCAGGCATGAATGAAACTAAAATGAGATTGATTCATTTTTACATATACATCTGTTCACATGTTTACACTGAAAATGTTTACACTGAAAAATTTGACAACACTAAGTGCAATGTTATTGTGTTGTTTATATGGTACGTATGGAGTTACTGTGATGGGAAAATTCTTCATTGAACTAATATACAAAAAAAAGGTAACATTTTAAAAATTATTGTTTTCAATTGATGTTGTTTACAATATATGAGACACGTCAAATTTGTGTTTCTGAGCATCACCTTGACTTTAAAAGTCATCATTTTCTGAGAACAATTGAAATGTTTTCATTCACCTCCTTGTTTTCAGTGTTGACACCTTGGTCAGAGGCAAATCAGGGTTATGGAGCTTCATTAAACTTCATTCCCACAGTGATACCCACTGCTCTTTACAGTAGTAATCATTTTATGAGAACAAATGCAATATTTGCTTGTCGTGCAATTTTTCCTTATGCTGGAGAAATAATTTAAAGTTTGATTTCTTCCAGGCTGGGAAAAAAGTGTTGACAAAAATGTAATAAATTCTTAATAAAGTAGAATTTGTTTGTTTTTGTATTCTGTTAATGATACACTTTTAGTCTAAAAATATACCCATCCAATACTTCTTTGGAGATAACTTACAAAGTGTGATCGTCAAAAACCAAGATGGCCGCCTCTCGGCCATCTTTTTTTGTCTGATCAGTGTTAAAATATGTTATGCACAACTAGGGACCATGGTGAACCTGTATATGAAATATGAGAATGATCCAGCCAAATGTTTTCATGAAATAGCAATAACAATTTATTACTGTCAAAATCCAAGATGTTGGCCATTTTGCTTTGTGTTTCTGATTAGTTCCTAAATGAGACAATGCACAACTATGGACAAAGTTTAACATATACATGAAATTTGAAAATGGTCATTCTTCTAGTTCTCAAGAAATTGCGGTAACGAAAATGGTTTTGAGGATGGACGGCGGAAGAAATTGATTTGAAGCCACCAGCTGTCTTATCGAGAGTGTTTAACACATTTTATAACTCCATATCAAGCAATGATGATGACAGCAGATCTATAACATCTGTATGAACTCAACACAGGCTCGACTGTATAGTTCCTATTTTACAAAATATCAGCTATCCGTTAAATGCATTCGAAACAATTAAGTAACCTCAGACAAGTTCTTGAAATCTTCTAGTCTGCGGCTTAAGATAAAGAATTCTGACAGAGGACTATTTGTGCCGTTTTCTCCAGGAGTAGAAAAACAAGATGGAGAGAATATATCTACATGATGTATCGTACAAGTTCCCAACTCCGATGGTCCCATACGGATATTGCATATATCTATAAACATACAGGCAGTTGAGTTTGGAATTGGTAACTCTGCGGTCTTATACTTGCGAGGCATGTACCACAGGGACTTGACACAAGTCTCAGCTCCACAACCCTATATTTTAACATCAGAATCTTGGATTTAGACACAAGTTCCTATGTGATACACCAATACCTTAACCAAATTAAGGACTCCAAAGTTTGGTTGATTCTTCTTGATGACAACAGGAAATTGTAAACGAAATTGATGTTTATAGTTTTCTTTATGTCTTTTTGACACAATTATCATGCAACCCTGTTCATGCCAAATTTAACAAAACACAGAAGGCGTGCTGAAGGTATATCAGATTTCTATATTGAACTAAAAACAAAAAAAAAAAAAAAAAAATGGAAAAAAAATTCATGGATTTGTAAGTGTACTTGTTGTCCCACTCTCTTGGTACATCATAGTAGTCTACTTATTACACTAAACTTAAGTCTCATACTTATTACACCAAACTTAAGTCTCATACTTATTACACCAAACTTAAGTCTCATACTTATTACACCAAACTTAAGTCTCATACTTATTATACCAAACTTAAGTCTCATACTTATTACACCAAACTTAAGTCTCATACTTATTACTCTAAACTTAAGTCTCATACTTATTATACCAAACTTAAGTCTCATACTTATAACACCAAACTTAAGTCTCATACTTATTATACCAAACTTAAGTCTCATACTTATAACACCAAACTTAAGTCTCATACTTATTATACCAAACTTAAGTCTCATACTTATTACACCAAACTTAAGTCTCATACTTATTACACTAAACTTAAGTCTCATACTTATAACACCAAACTTAAGTCTCATACTTATTACACCAAACTTAAGTCTCATACTTATTACACCCAACTTAAGTCTCATACTTATTACACCAAACTTAAGTCTCATACTTATTATACCAAACTTAAGTCTCATACTTATTATACCAAACTTAAGTCTCATACTTATTATACCAAACTTAAGTCTCATACTTATTAAACCAAACTGAAGTCTCATACTTATTATACCAAACTTAAGTCTCATACTTATTGTACCAAACTTAAGTCTCATACTTATTACACCAAACTTAAGTCTCATACTTATTACACCAAACTGAAGTCTCATACTTATTACACCAAACTTGAGTCTCATACTTACTATACCAAACATAAGTCTCATACTTATTATACCAAACTTAAGTCTCATACTTATTACACCAAACTTAAGTCTCATACTTATTACACCAAACTTAAGTCTCATACTTACTATACCAAACATAAGTCTCATACTTATACCAAACTTAAGTCTCATACTTATGATACCAAACTTAAGTCTCATACTTATTGTACCAAACTTAAGTCTCATACTTATTCTACCAAACTTAAATCTCATAATACATTTCCTTCCTGAATTCAGTCACATACTAAATGTTTTAAATGTCTAGACAGGCCAAGCTCAAACAATAACATATATCATAGACTATTTTATGATGAGCACCTTACTAAATGAATCAGTACTATATTCCCAGATCACTTATAGAACGTTTAATGTGCAGTATATGACAACAGCTTACCTATAAAGACCACATGGTCAGACAGGTGCCCCTCTCCTCATTCATCCCTCCCCTTGATAGTCTAAGTACATATATGCCAATGCAGGTCTGATTGAGGAAAAAAATCCCCAATAAACTTTATTTTAGGTCAGGATCGGGATGACTAGCTTTAGCCATCGTGTTTCGTCCGTCGTCTTTTCACTTTTGAAATTTCCGCAGAGTATTGCTTGAAATTTGGCTGAAACTATTGCATCAGGGATGTTCAGAATCTAACATACTGCCATCTTTGAAATCACATTATAAGACTTTTACAGCTCTGCCAGTGATATTGAGCTGAAACTTGATGACATGGTTGAAAAATTGAAGTCTATTAGATAATCATACCCCAATGGTCAAGGTAACCTATAGCTAACATGCTGTAATCGTCCTTGTCTGTTGTATGTCACCAGTCATCTGTTGTTCATAACTTTAAACTTTTGTGGTAAATTTGTTTCAGCCAGAAATTTGTGACGGCCGGCATGTTGAGAAATAACATGCATATTCTATTACATGTCCTTTGTCTTTCCAAAACATATTCAGCTGGACAATCAGCTTTGTTCACAAATTCGATTTCAATCGAGTTCTGGTGTAATATTTCTATTAACGTCGATTATTTTAATGGAGATAATACGTAATAGTAGGTCCACCTTAATCAAAAACTGTCGGTTTGGAAGACTGGAACGTTATGTGCCTCATTTTCGTGGTTTTGAATTTGGCGCCAAATTTTGGCCCAGGTAACAACATTCGCATAGCATTGTGGGACCTGTATGCACATGTCAAGGCCGCCATTATCTCAGCAGAAACTTCGCGGGAAAGTCAACAAAAAGTTATAAAAACAGGTTTGTGTACTAAATAATGATTGAAAACTTGTGTAAAAATTTCCAAACTCTTTTATTTAGATGCTTTGGCTATACAACTGACTGGTGTTCGCGCTAAATATATGCCATTCTTAGTCGTAAGTGACAAAGGTGCGAGCTTACCTCCTTGTTCTGGCACGAAAATTTGGGAATTTGGATGTCATCAAGGTTACTATCCACATGACAAGCATTTTACGTGGGTAAGAAACAGTAATTAAGTGTTGAATTGCTTATTTCGTTCATAGGCAAATTGTCTTGTTTCTTTTTAAAGCCGTAAAAACGGTGTTTTCCAAGTACATACAATGACATACGGTTGAATACACACGGACACATGAGCAAATGGCACCTGTGACCTGTGTATTGGCAAACCGCCTGTTGAATCGCGTCGACTTTGCAGGAACAGACAAGTTAGAAGGAAATTACTTTTAACGTTCTTACTTGCCTTTAGAGAAAAGTTTGCAGCTGTTAACGGGACATTATTTTACACATTTCAATCTTGGAAACACGTGCGTCGTTATTTTGGTATTGCCACTATTGGGGTTAAAATTTAGAAATTTTTGTAAATGAGTAAAATAAAACGAATTTCTCGCTAATGTTAACTCTTTGAATTCTAATAATCCATAATATCTCTTGATTTTAATTGGATATTTGCTTTCTTCTGTTGAAACACATTTTTCCCGAAATAATTAGGATTTAAATAACTGTATTTAAACATAATTAATAAATCTTTAGTAGTCAAGAAATGTTTGCTGATCTTTTGAAAATAAAAATAAGTTGATTGATGCATGAAGAAATTGCATGTGAAGCTGATTTCAAATAATTTGGAAAGGACCACAAATTTTAAAACAAACATGTAAGTTGTCTCCCTTCCGCCAGGTGTCCAACTTGTGCACCTACTAATTATGTGTAAACTTATGTATGATATTATCGATGTTGGAAGTACTAATTAATTCCATATTATGTATTGTTAAGTATGGGAAAGTAACATATCACATCCAACAAAATTTTGAGATTCTTAGTGTTACTTAATAGAAATAGATCCAGGTAAGCTTATAATAACATGGGCTGGTAATTACTTGGTATGGTCTCAGTGGCAGGTGGCTATACATCATAATTAAACCTGAGAATATTTTCCATTTTTGTCAAAATAGTCACAGGTGAAATAAGATATTATCCATAAGAAAAAGAAAAAAACAAAAAAAAAAAAGGTATTTTTCCAAAAGCAAATACATTTCCCTTCAAAAATTTGAACCAAATTTAAGAGGTTGTGCAAAAATTTGGGTAGGGAAAAGAATCTGAATTAATGAATTGGGGCATTTGTATTGGAACCAACCAGCAATGTTATGGGCTATTGCAGAAGATATTATAAAATACGGTATGTAGAAGCATTGTTGTATTGATAAAGCTGATAAGTGTACAGATTACAAAATCAACACGACAGCAGTGAATAATTCATAGGTCTCTGTATTGGATTACATTTACTGGCATATTTCATGGTGATAGATTTATTTTATTTCTCAGATTTAACTGTGAGATAATTAGCTAAACTGTTACGACCCCTTACCCTTTGATCAAATTAATCTTTTCAAGATGAATGCTGTCTTTCATAAACAGACAAATTCTTGTGTTTAATAGAAGTTAAGATTACTTGATTAAAGTTGTATGTCAGTTGAGGGTCAAAAGGGGATTTACAAAATAACAAATAATACAATATAGATGTAACATTCTATTCAGAACTTTTTCTCATTG